GGCATATTGATAAAAACAGATCAAGGACTTCGTGAAATTTCTAAGTCCCTGAAATCAGCATTAACGAATGCACTACTTTGCAAGATTCTGCTAGTCACCACACATGTCACAAAAATACATGGATAGCACCTCTGTAAAGATGGCAAATCATATAACAAAACTCATGTAGAGCTCAGGAGCATATCATGCACACATTAAACATGGCAAAAATGACAAATAGCTATTTGGTGCAGCAGATCTGACAATTAACTCAAATAGCTCTCTTCCAACAGCATTTCGGGCATCAAGATGAACTCAAATGAAAATGATGCAATGAGATGAAATGATGTGCTCTCTGAGACGAACATTTTGATATGCTACACGTGCAAATCGGAGCTACGGATGCGGAGTTACGATGCGATGAACATGGCATCAAAATACTGCAGAAAAATGACTTAGAAAATATCCCGGGGTCAACCTAGGGTTTGACCCGATCCAGATCTCGCGCACGGAAGCCAAGGATCACCGGGGCTTCGCAGGAGACGTCACCGTGGAGGAGGTGGAGGCCGGGGCGGCGCGGATCCGGGCGGGGAGGCGAGGAGGCGACGTCGGCGGCGAGGAGGGTGCCGGGACGGCGAGAGGAGGCGGCCGGTGCGGCTCCGGCCGGCGAGAAGTGCGGCGGCCGCTGGCGACGGCGCGGGGCAGCGCGGGCCGCCGGAGTTGGAGGCGAAGGGCGGCGATGTGGCGGCCAGGCGGGGAGGACGCCTCGGGCGGCGGCGGGTGGCGATGTGGGCCTCGGGGGCCCGATCTGGGCCTCCCGGGCCGGAGCGGCGGTGATGTGGGCGCGAGGCGGAGGCAAATGGGGGCGTGCCACGTGGCGGCGGGGGTGGAAGTCGGACACGTCCGGCGCGCGGAGGAAGACGGAGGCTAGGGTTTCGGGGGAGAGATCCGAAATTTCGGGAGTGGGTCTTTAAATAGACATAGGAGGAGCTAGGAGAGTCCAAATGAGGTGCAGTTTTTGGCCACGTGATCGTGATCAAACGCTCTAGATGATGGAGAGTGTTTTGGTGGGTTTTGGGCCAAATTGGAGGGGTGTTGGGCTGCAACACACACGAGGCCTTCTCGGTCCCTCGGTTAACCGTTGGAGTATCAAACGAAGTCCAAATGGTACGAAACTTGACAGGCGGTCTACCGGTAGTAAACCAAGGCCGCTTGGCAAGTCTCGGTCCAATCCGGAAATGTTTAACCCCCACACACGAAAGGAAGGTAGAAAGAACCACCGGAGGAGATAGAAGCGCCGGAATGCAAAACGGACAACGGGGAAAAAGCTTGGATGCATGAGATGAACACGTATGCAAATGCAATGCACATGATGACATGATATGAGATGCATGACAACGACAACAACACACAGAGACAAAAACTTGAACCTGAGGAAATAAAATAACTTAGCACCGGAAACGGCAAGAGTTGAAGTACATATTAGGTAAAAAAAAATACATCCAGGGTGTTACAGATACGTTGTTCCAAATAGATTAAGCCCGTACTACCGTGGTCGTCATGATGCTCAACGGTGATAGCGCTGACAGAGCACCCATCATACTCGGCTTAAAAATAAAGAGGAATCCTTGCACACAGTGAGATCCCAGATGTGTAACAATGATCACCTTAATGACACATGGTGTGAACCCGACACAACCGACAAAGGCATGTCTGGCTAGCAAGGAGGTTATGCCTCTACCCCGACCAAAAGGTCAGGTAGCTGAGCAATAACCATGTGAAAGAGCAAAACAAAGCTTCGGCATGAACAACGAGAAGATGTGTTGCATGTCCCATCCTATGCCAGGCCGCCGTCTATAGACAAAGGGGCAACCGCCTTGGGGTATGATGTAATAAGCAAGCTCTCCTCGATAATCATAAAATGAACACTTAACGTGTTGTCCATATGTTGCTTAATTTCCTGATTGCAGTTGGACTTTGCATCAAGGGCGCAACAGATATGGATTGATCGCGTCAGTTGCTCCGAGTAGGAGTCTCTGCCCTTGCCGATCGAAGAAGGACATGGGCAAAGATCATCACTGTTTGTCGTTAGTAATAAATATACAAAGTAAATACAAATGAAATACAAGCATAATAATTTACAGACAATTCACGAGAAACATCATTCACATATAGTTCTTAGTTGCATTAGTCACTTCATTTCTTGGTCGCAATTAGTCTTCATGCCAGTCGTCAATGACAAAACGAGTCATTTGGTAGGAGTGATAAATAAAAACAACTCCAATGGGGCGATCCATTTCGTCCGCCCGCGTCCGTTTGGGTTGGCACGGATAAAAGTGGCGGCCCAACGCGCCGACCCAAACGGACGCGCGTCCATTTTTCGTCCGCGGGTGACCCATTCTAGGCCCAATTTTGAGCTGGATTTGTGTCGGCGCGGACACGAGACGGACGCGCGCGCGCCTACTTCTCTCCCCGGACCCGCCGGTCGGTGGCAGCCACCACCATTTCCCCCCATTTTCCCCAAAAACGCTCCCGCCCCTGCGCGCCTCCGCCCCCCAACCAGCCATGGAAGACGCCATCGACCTCGACCTCGACGCCACCACCGGCCTCGCCTCCCTCGCCTCGTCCGGCGCCGTTGCCCCCTCCGGGAAAGGCAAGCCTCGTGCCCCGCACAAGACCGTCGCCGCGACCAAGCCGAAGAAGGCGCTGACGCCTGAACAGCAGGCAAGGGAGTCGGCCACGAGGAAGGGCCGAAGGCATGCCGCGGACGCGAGGGATTAGGCCGCCGTGTAGGCGGCCGCCGTCGCCGCCGCGTAGCAGGAGTTCACCAACGCCCGCGTCGCCGCGGCAATGAGGGAGGCGCTCTACATGCTAGGGTAAACCCTAGCCAGCACAGCGTCCTCCAAGCCGCCGTCACCGCGGCCAGCACCGGCTCATCGGCGTTTCCTCAGATGGTGATGCCCAACTCACCCGCGCATCGGCTTGCAACCCGGTCCCCGGCTTCCACGTCTACCCGCAGGCCTCCCGCCTCTCCGGGGAGTGCTCACCTGACGTGAGCGTGGTCGCGCCTTCCACACCCGCGCCCGCGCCCATTGACCTCAACGCCACCCCGGTGGTCAGTGGCTCGTCGTCCGGCGGCACGAGGAAACGCGCGCGACAGACGCCGGCCGGGGGGCTCCGGGACGCCCGTAACCTGTTCGAGGAAATGTCGTCCGCCGTCGACGAGGACTACATGCAAAACCTCATCTTCGAGGGTAGTGCGTCGGGCGCTGGCTACGATCCCGAGGAGACACAAAGCCAGGACGGCCGCGAGACGTTCACGCCGGCCGCTGGCTATGATCCCGATTAGGCGGCCTTCATGCGTGATCAGGTCGACATCGACCTGGACGGCTTCCCCCTCGACCACGAGTTTCCGGACGACTATGGGCTAGAGAAAGAGGACGAGTGTGACATCGAAGTGGAGCCTTTGTTTGAGGACTGTCTCGCCAACCAAGTCGCCGGTCCTAATGCGGAGCGCAAGAGCAAGCGCACGAAGGCGTACACAGCTGCCAAGGACAAGCTTCTTTGCGAGTGTTGGCGAGACATTGGACAAGACCCAAAGACGGGCGCCGAGCAAAAGCTTTCGACCTTTTGGACTCGTGTGCACCGCGAGTTTCATGAGCGCAAGAAGTTTCCACCTTACCAATTTGTGAGCACGTGCGGGTGGGTCTCCATTTCCAAGCGGTGGAGGATGATCCAACAAGAGTGTAACAAGTTTTGCGCCACCCTTGAGAGCGTCAAGGCCCGCCCCGTGAGCGGCATCGGCGTGCAAGACATGGTATGATAGTAAGCAAGCCGCCCTCTTTTGTGCCATCAAGATCACCCTTTTACGTCTTTATTTGCTATCACTTGCCCATATGCTTGCATGGAAACATTTTATAGGCATTTCAAGCTTTGGAGGCATTCAAGGTTCAACACAATGGCAAGTGCTTCAACCTCTCCCATTGTTGTCGGGTCATCAAGGACGAAGAGAAGTTCAAGGCGCAATATGCCGCCCTCAAGGCACATGGGGGGAAGAATGCCATGGAGGATGTTGGGGAGGGCGAGCCGGCACGGTCGAGGGGGAAGACCAACTCCAAGAAGGAGGACAAGCGAGATGCGGCCACCAACGCTTTGATCGCAAGCATGAACGGCATGATTAACAAGAAGGACTCAAAGGAGGAGGAGCGCCGGCGTTTCAAGGCGGAGCAAATGATGCTTTCATGAAGATCCAAAGGAGAAGGCTTGATCTTGACATCGAGAAGCAAGCCAAGATGTTCGAGCTCGAGGCGAAGAAGCAAGCCAAGATGCTAGAGATCGAGGCCGTCAACGCCAAGACAAAGGCGAAAGAAGTGTCTCTTGCAAGCATGATGACCGGGGTGGAGATTATGAAGGTGGATCTCAACACCGTGTCGCCAAGGAAGAGGCCGTGGTTCGAGAAGATGCAGGCCGACATGCTCAAGTTCGACGACGAGTGATCTATGGCGTTGAGGGACATCTTTTTTGTATGCCGGCTGGTGTGCCGGCATGACCACGGTCGCCGCGATGGCGTGGTCGAACTCAAGTCCCACCCTTTTTTGTGTGCTGGCATGTGTGCTGACCGGCTGGCGAGTGCGCCAGTATGAACTGTGGTATTTTCTGAAGCCGGCATGATGCCAACATGAGACATGGCCGCTGGCATGATCGGCCGCGAGCCTTTTTTATTTAAAATTTAAATGCAGACATGAAATGGGTCGGCACATTGGCGCACTGCCGACCCAAATGCAAAACTGAGTGGATGCCGGGCGGGCGACCAATCTAAACAAACAAAAAACGGACAAATGCGCCGTTCGTTTGGGTCGCCCCATTAAAGTTGCTCTAAGTCCTTCACCCCAACCTGCTCAGGTCAAAATTGGCGGCACCTCCGGCGTCTCAAACGGCCTGGAAACCTGTACACCCCATTGTAGCCACGAACCAATCGATGCCTTCCAACTAAGGCCACAAGTCTGGAACAAAAGGTAGGAATGTCTCCACCTGCCAGTCTCCAGAACCTTCCCGCGCTCTCCAGAACCCAAACCCCACACCCTGGAGCCGAGTCCAACTCCGCCACGACTCGCCCGTCCCCACCCCCGCGGTTTCCTCCTGTCCGTCCAGATCGCATCCGACGGCCACAGCCACCCAAGGAACATTCTAGAGCCCATCCGCGGCCGCGGCACCACAACCTTTTAAATCCAACCGCGTGTCGCCTCTCTGCCTCGTACACCACCTATTCTCCCTCCCTACCCGCGTGCTCCGCTCCAAGATCCAACCAATCCCGCAATTCCCTTCGAGGTTGTTTCTCCGCTCGACTTGTCGACGAGATCATGGCCGGAAAAGGAGACGGGCCGGCGATCGGCATCGACCTCGGCACGACCTACTCCTGCGTCGGCGTCTGGCAGCATGACCGGGTGGAGATCATCGCCAACGACCAGGGCAACCGCACCACGCCGTCCTATGTCGCCTTCACCGACACCGAGCGGCTCATCGGCGACGCCGCCAAGAACCAGGTCGCCATGAACCCGATCAACACCGTCTTCGGTAAGCACATCCCTCTGTTATGCTCTGATCTGTTCTAGTCCTCTGTTTTCATGTCGTTGGCAGATCGAGATCCGTGTGGCACAGATCTAAACGAGCCCGTGTCCTGTTGTTTGTTTGCAGATGCGAAGCGGCTCATCGGCCGGCGTTTCTCGGACTCGTCGGTGCAGAGCGACGCCAAGCTGTGGCCGTTCAAGGTGATCCCCGGCCCCGCTGACAAGCCGATGATCGGGGTACAGTACAGAGGCGAGGACAAGCAGTTCTCGGCCGAGGAGATCTCCTCCATGGTGCTCAACAAGATGAAGGAGACGGCCGAGGCCTACCTCGGCACAACCATCAAGAACGCAGTCGTCACCGTCCCCGCCTACTTCAACGACTCCCAGCGCCAGGCCACCAAGGATGCAGGCGTCATCTCTGGCCTCAACGTCATGCGGATCATCAACGAGCCTACCGCCGCCGCCATCGCCTACGGTCTTGACAAGAAGTCCACCAGCGTCGGCGAGAAGAACGTGCTCATCTTTGATCTCGGCGGCGGTACCTTCGATGTCTCCCTCCTCACCATTGAGGAGGGTATCTTCGAGGTCAAGGCCACTGCCGGAGACACCCACCTGGGAGGCGAGGACTTCGACAACCGGATGGTCAATCACTTCGTGCAGGAATTCAAGAGGAAGAACAAGAAGGACATCAGCGGCAACCCGAGGGCGCTCCGGCGGCTCAGGACAGCGTGCGAGAGGGCGAAGAGGACACTCTCCTCCACCGCCCAGACCACCATCGAGATCGATTCCCTCTTCGAGGGCATCGACTTCTACACTACCATCACCCGCGCCCGGTTCGAGGAGCTCAACATGGACCTCTTCCGCAAGTGCATGGAGCCCGTTGAGAAGTGCCTCCGGGACGCCAAGATGGACAAGAGCACCGTGCACGACGTTGTCCTCGTCGGAGGATCCACACGTATCCCCCGTGTGCAGCAGCTCCTCCAGGACTTCTTTAACGGGAAGGAGCTCTGCAAGAGCATCAACCCTGACGAGGCCGTCGCGTACGGAGCCGCCGTTCAGGCTGCCATCCTCACTGGCGAGGGCAACGAGAAGGTGCAGGACTTGCTCCTGCTTGACGTCACGCCGCTCTCGCAGGGCCTGGAGACGGCCGGAGGCGTCATGACCGTGCTGATCCCGAGGAACACGACAATCCCCACCAAGAAGGAGCAGGTCTTCTCCACCTACTCTGACAACCAGCCCGGCGTGCTCATCCAGGTGTATGAGGGCGAGAGGGCGAGGACCAAGGACAACAACCTGCTCGGCAAGTTCGAGCTCTCTGGGATCCCACCGGCGCCCAGGGGTGTCCCCCAGATCACCGTGTGCTTTGACATTGATGCCAACGGTATCCTGAACGTCTCGGCGGAGGACAAGACCACTGGGCAGAAGAACAAGATCACAATTACCAACGACAAGGGGCGTCTGAGCAAGGAGGACATCGAGAAGATGGTGCAGGAGGCCGAGAAGTACAAGGCTGAGGACGAGGAGCACAAGAAGAAGGTGGACTCCAAGAACGCCCTGGAGAACTACGCTTACAACATGCGTAACACCATCAAGGATGACAAGATCGCCTCCAAGCTTCCCGAGGCCGACAAGAAGAAGATCGAGGATGCTATTGACGGTGCCATCACCTGGCTCGACAACAACCAGCTCGCTGAGGCTGAAGAGTTTGATGACAAGATGAAAGAGCTGGAGGGCATTTGCAACCCCATCATCGCCAAGATGTACCAGGGGGCCGGCGCTGAAATGCCTGGTGGTATGGATGAGGATGCTCCGGCCAGTGCCGCAGGCGGCAGCAGCGGCCCAGGGCCCAAGATTGAGGAGGTCGACTAAATGATAGATTTAGATCGCCTACTATTCTATACCGTATCTTCCATTGTACGGTGGATTCTAGTATCGTTCTGCAATTTTTCGTTCAGGCATATATACATTGCCCCATCTTATGTTTAAGTTGATATTGAAACATGATTATTTAGTACTACTCCCTCCGTCACAGTTTAGAAGGCACAGTTAAATTTGCGTGCGTTTCCACAATAGACAAGGTTTAGGGCGCATTGTATTTATTTCTAGTAGCTAATTAGTACTCCGATATACTATTTTTATATGCATGCATAGTGTGAATGCTATTTTTTAGCCCATCTCACAATCAATAGATAACCACCTAGGTCCTAGAGAATTTCTAAGCGCGCCTTCTAAACCGTGACGGAGGTAGTACTAGAAGACAGTATACTTGGTTATCTGCAGTTATTTCACATTTATTTATCTTTGATTGAATGTCTGGTTGCTGAACTTAGCCTGTCATGAATCTCTAGTTGCTACAATCGCTTTAGAAGAGGTTTCATTGCAACTAGTATGGACTGTGGAGCAATTGTTTCTAGATGATCAAATGCCTTTCTAAAACGTTCGGGCTGGGTATTTTTTTTAGAACCAATTTCTTCATTATTTATTATTGGCCGTTTGACAAGCTGTTCATTATTCTAGCATTGCAAGATATCCCGTGAAAGTAAACATTTGTCATGTGAAATAGATGTTGCAAGTTTAGCTCAGCACATTACACGATTACCACATAACTATGCAAATGCCCACAATTTTTCAACTGTGTTTAATAGGTTATATTAATAGGGGATAAGAACCTAGATTTTTTTTTTCTGTTAGTCGATGGTCAAAACTTGGAGAAGCTGCTTTCTAATTGTTCTGAGTTGCAGACAATGAGAACTGAGAAGTTTTAATTTTCTTTTTTGTTTATTTCGACTTGTGTTGCTGTCTGTAAAAGAAATTCTTAATCCCGAGATAGTTGGAATGAGTATTGTTGCTAAATTTCATAGAAAGGTTGTTGGCTGCCATTCTTTGGACCAATGCATCTGTTTCTTGTGCTCAAGCTCTTTTTTACCTGATGAGATTCTATCAAGTATTCTGTGGATAGTTGGGAACACAGACAATTCTACATTACTTGAAAAGGTACTGTACTGAATTTGTATATGCAACTTGTTGTGACTAATCCGTAGAGTTGGTCCTCACAACTTCGGTGATTTCTTTTCTTCTAAAATTAAATTTAAATTTTGACATATATGGACACGTTATGTTTCTTTTGTAGGGCTTTTGTAACAAAAAAATTGTCTTAATCATCTTACTCATTCTTCTATACATGATGGTTAGGCATATGTGTTGCGTTTGTCTGCTCAACTCGTTTATCAGTTCACCATACCCTGACTCGAATAATTTCTATTGACTGTTTCATCTTCCCAAACACTTATTATATGGTCCAGTCTTATTCATTGCTACCATATCCAGGTTATCCAAACAATGTTAGAATTATCCTTTGTCAGAGTGAGGTCCAATTTTTTTTCATGGCAATTGCTTGGTTCTCTTCTGTGAAAATTCTTCTCTTAGCAATTTTATCAAAATTTTAGCTGCAGAGGCCTTATGTTCTTTTGAACTAGCATCTACTCCCGAGCATATTGAATGTGATAACGTTTTATATTATGGGACGGAGGGAGTATTTGCTTATCGGTCTACAATAACTTTTATTTTCGGGGATGCGGTCTGCACCCGAGGTGATCAGTAAATTCGTTTAAAATAGTAAAAGAATTCAAAATATCTGATTTTTTTGTGATGCTAGATGCTTATGTGCGCGAAGCTCGTGTCAAATTTCGTGGAGTTTGGACATTTCAGTGGCTCTCAGCAAAAAAGACAAATTTTAGGGCAGTAAGAAAGTTTACTGTTCACGTATTGTTTTGACCGATTTTGTCTTTTTTGCTATGAACTCCTCAGATGTCCCAACAAGCTGAAATTTGGCAAGAACATCACGCACTGTAACATCTTCCACCTAAAAAAAATCAGAATTTTTTAAAGTTTTTTTAGTATTACTCCCTCCATTCCACAATGTAGTGCTTCCTCTATCCACGTGCTTCAACTTTGACCGTAAATTTAACTACCAAGACCAATTGCGGCGGGAGCAAAAATTATATCAGTGAATTCGTATTCGAAAAAAGTTTTCAATTATATAATTTTTTTCTCCCGCCGCAGTTGGTCTCGTTGGTTAAATTTATGGTCAAAGTTGGACCTCGGGAAGCGCGGGCGCACTATATTTTGGAATGAAGGGAGTATTTTGTATTTACTGTTCACGGGGTGCAGACGAGCCTGAGCACCGAATTGAATATCTTTTCCTTTATTTTTCCACAATCCTACTGTAAAACTATTGTTGCCTGTTGTTATGTGTAATATGATTCGGTTGAAATTGTCAGCCCAGCTGAACTATCACAACTACTTTCATCTTATTATACTATCGTCCAGCTGAAAAATTCCCATCCTTTACATTTGCATATGTTCACCTGTTTGGCAGTTTCTTATGTGAGTTACTGGGTGCAGAGCATTGACTTCATATCAACTGTCATCGATGATCAAGATGTGATTGCCATGCTTATCCAGCCCTTGCTTAAAGTGGGTTTAGTTGACCGTGCTATTGGGTTACCAACAACTGAGATTGAAAGATCACCAATGAGAAGCTAGACAAGTATGTTGAATTCATGAATTGAAATTCGGTAAGATTCTCATTTATAAAAATTATCTATTGCAGATTTTGAATTGTTATTGTTCAAAGGTATCAAGGAAGCTTCTCATGTGCATTTTGACAAATTTTCTTTAGTTCAAGAATTTCCAATTGTCAAATCTAATGAAGCTCATCAACTATACGCATTTAGCTCTGTAATCTGTTTAAGTAGTGCCTCTTTGATTCACAGGATTCTGAAATGCAGCAACAGTTAAAGGTATATGTCAGTGTCATGCCATCTTGAATCATATAGGATTGTATACCTCATGAATTTGCACCAAAGGCTTTTTGATTACACCATATGATATGATCTTTCCAAGAGGTTGGAGTAGATGGAAAGTGTCCTATAAAATATAGTGCAAAGAAATCCTTAGGAGTTAGGAAATATTCCTATGGATTGCTCAGTCATACGTATACATTCATAGGAAACACACCTAAGGGCCTGTTTGGATATGCGGTATTTCTCTAGAGATTTATGGGTTGAATGCTGAAGCTCCCAAGACAGCTGTGCAAGCAATTCTCAAGGATTTGAATCCTTTACAGTCCCGTTTAAGGTCCTTGTTTTAAAGGGCGTGCTATGCGTCCGTCGGAAAGATAGGCCGGGTTGCGAGCTGTCAGATCTGGCGCATCGAGCGGCTGAGTGACACCTTCGCCATTGCAACACAGGTCTTGTTACAGAAATTTTGCAACAGAGGTCCAGTTGCAGAAAAGTTTTGCAACAAAGGTCCTGTTGCAGAATTTTTTTCGCAACAGAAATCTTGTTGCAGATTTTTTTTTGCAACAAAGATATTGTTACAGATTTTTTGCAACGGAGCTCTTGTTGTAGATTTTTTTTTTCAACAAAGATCTTGTTGCAGGAAAACACCCGAGAAGAGAATCAGAGAGAGGGCCATGGGTGGAGAGAGAGGTGCGTAAGGAGAGAGAGGAGGGAAGGGGAAAGGGGCTCGCAGCGGAGTGCCATGGGAGATCGTTCGGGGAAGAGAGGGCTAAGGAGAGAGGAGGACGAAAGGAGAAAGGGGGTCGGCGGCGGCGTCCTCTGGCGCGGCGGAGATCGTGCGCGCATCTGTTGCGTGGCTGAGTGGTGGCGGCTCTAGATGAAAGTCGGGAGGGAGAAAGTGAAGATTGGCTGCTGTTGAGAAACAAGTGATTGGCTGCTGAGAGAGAAGAGCGGCAAGATAGATTTTTTGGAGACGGATACCTGAGGAGATAAGGTTCAGCAACGATGTGACTCACGGGGACATACGTCAAGCAGCCGAAGCGGTCGACGCACAGGCTTAATCAGCCGGCTGACAGGAAGCTTTTCCCTTGTTTTGAAGAGATCCTTACAGCTTCATGTAGAATATTTGTTATATTCCATGTCTTCTAGGCAAAGTTTAGGTCCTTAACTATGTTCTGAGATGCGGCCTTTTTTTTTCATATTACGGTCTGAGCATTATAAATTTCTTACATTCCCCACTTCCTGTTTTTGATTTAATAGGATTGTGGCTGCATCTCTCTGTCACTGCCATAACCCATTCTTAGTTTCTGAATTTTGAATTAATAACCTGGGACAGTAATGTTTACCTTCTGCTGAACACGTTTCAGGTCGGATTCTCTTGATTTGATCCTTCACTTTATGGAAGAATTATCATCAGCTATACACAGTGTTTCAGAGGCAACGTCATCAGAGTGACCGGCTGATTAAAGTGCTACTCCCTCCGTTTGAAAATAAGTGACGCTGTTTTAGTAAGGCAGTAGTTAGCATGATCAAGTCACCTGATAAACATTTTGGGCATAATTAAGGAGGAAGTGTCGTGATTTGCAAACATGTGTAGTAGCAGCAAGACAAGGAAGCAGGCTGTGCTGGTAGCATCCTCCGGAAATATATTGAGCATACATTAATAAAAAACCCGTAGGGGAGCCTTGGTGCAGTGGTAAAGCTGCTGCCTTGTGACCATGAGGTCATGGGTTCAAGTCCTGGAAACAGCCTCTTATAGAAATGTAGGGAAAGGCTGCGTACTATAGACCCAAAGTGGTCGGACCCTACGCAAGCGGGAGCTACATGCACCAGGTTGCCCTTTTTTTTTACATTAATAAAAAGCCCCTAAATTTGCTATCCGTAAGTAGTTGCCTGAATTCTCGGCGTGGAGAAGGCAAGACAGAGACGGGAGTCAAGACCTCTCTGGAGACGGGGGGACGCTGCCATAATTCAAGTGACATTTTCAAGTGCTTCATGTGTTACTGCACAGAAACAGAATAAATATGTGTCAAGTGCAATTCACCAACTGCACACAAAAAAAAACAATAACATGGTTTTTGTATCAAGTGGTCTGCAGAGAAGTTTCCTTTCTGATTTGTAAATAAGTACCAAACAGAGGCTGAAAATTATGGTGACATACAAACCTAACTGTTGATTCTCAATCGAATGATGTCAGTTTACAATGCAAACCATCTACAAAAATGGATTCAAGTTATATTCTTCAGATGATTTATATTATCATAACTGAAGATCTGAATCTTGTGCCCTTTGGTTTGAGAAAGAGCTACTATCCCCTTCAACCTAATCCGCTATAGCTCTTTACATTAATTTTCAGCCTGAATTCTCGGCGTGGAGAAGGCAAGACAGAGACGGGAGTCAAGACCTCTCTGGAGACGGGGACGCTGCCATAATTCAAGTGACATTTTCAAGTGCTTCATGTGTTACTGCACAGAAACAGAATAAATATGTGTCAAGTGCAATTCACCAACTGCACACAAAAAAAAACAATAACATGGTTTTTGTATCAAGTGGTCTGCAGAGAAGTTTCCTTTCTGATTTGTAAATAAGTACCAAACAGAGGCTGAAAATTATGGTGACATACAAACCTAACTGTTGATTCTCAATCGAATGATGTCAGTTTACAATGCAAACCATCTACAAAAATGGATTCAAGTTATATTCTTCAGATGATTTATATTATCATAACTGAAGATCTGAATCTTGTGCCCTTTGGTTTGAGAAAGAGCTACTATCCCCTTCAACCTAATCCGCTATAGCTCTTTACATTAATTTTCAGCCTGAATTCTCGGCGTGGAGAAGGCAAGACAGAGACGGGAGTCAAGACCTCTCTGGAGACGGGGACGCTGCCATAATTCAAGTGACATTTTCAAGTGCTTCATGTGTTACTGCACAGAAACAGAATAAATATGTGTCAAGTGCAATTCACCAACTGCACACAAAAAAAAACAATAACATGGTTTTTGTATCAAGTGGTCTGCAGAGAAGTTTCCTTTCTGATTTGTAAATAAGTACCAAACAGAGGCTGAAAATTATGGTGACATACAAACCTAACTGTTGATTCTCAATCGAATGATGTCAGTTTACAATGCAAACCATCTACAAAAATGGATTCAAGTTATATTCTTCAGATGATTTATATTATCATAACTGAAGATCTGAATCTTGTGCCCTTTGGTTTGAGAAAGAGCTACTATCCCCTTCAACCTAATCCGCTATAGCTCTTTACGCTGTGCAGAGCTTCTTCTTCTAGCTCAACCAACATGCGGCAGAAGTCTTCAACATCCTTGACTGCTTCCTTGAATGTGAACCTGAACTCTTTCCAATGGTACTGCTGAGGGACATCAGGTGCGGTAGCTCTTTCAGGAACCCTGGCGAGCACCTCAAATCCATGGTGATCAACGGAGAGCAAGAGTGCATCCTTAAAGCAAAGAAAAATAGGATAGTCAACAGTACTGTGACAATAAGAGGACTTGGTTAATTTGGCCGGAAAGCTTCAGAAATGAGAAACTAATAATACACTTATCCTACATTGCGCATTGTCCAGATATACAAGACACTTACTCTGGCAGTCACATCAAAATACTCGAAACAGAAAAGTATAAGTGCTCTCCGCCTTGGGTCACTCCTGTTGATACCATCAATAAGCCTCGAAGAGAATGGCACTACAAAGAATAATATATGCATTTAGAAACCGAACTATTACTGCAACATTAGAAGGTGCAAGTAGAAAAGTACATTCATTTAAGCAATCAACTAGCATCTTAATGACATTTCTAGAATTAAATGCTGCCAGTCAGTAAAGTTGTTGGAAGGTACATAAGTAAAGATGCATAGCTGAAAAAAGAATCTCGATAAATGGAGTTTTATTTACCCAATTGTCACATCAAGGTATACAACCTCATGGAGTACAAAACCCGGCCAGCTGAAATCAATTAAGTAGAAACTTACATAGCAGGTCGGCTTTTGGTGGTTCAAAAGTATCCAATTCGATATTATGGCTGCTCCCCAATGAATCTATGAAGACACACGAGCTGCAATATAGATATCTCCGCAATCACAAATAGTTCCTTTTAATTAATTACACAGATGATCAACAGATATTTAATGCACCAATGGTAAACATAAAGACTAGATAATGAATATTAGAAAACATAAAGGCATATTACACACCCAATTTCAAACTTCAAGATATTGTAGGAGCTCTCTTCATTGAGTAAGCTAAGGAGACCTTCACTGCGCGACCTACAAGTAGCACTTGCGGAAGACAATACCGTTGAAACCCCATAAGTAGCTTCGCTAGCAGCTTTATGTTCCTTCAGAATAGCTTTCTTAAGGCTCTCAGCTATAACTGGAACCTTAAGAAGAGCATATGAAGCACAATCAGTACCACTCTGCCAACTACAACTGGGAAATCGAACATGGTTCACCCATGCTGGGGGTCTTCAAAATGGGCTTACCTTTGTCTCCTTCATGCGCAGGACATCGCCGGTCATAGCAACCCGGGGAGGCAACTGCACAAGACAACAATATCACCACACGCTAGAGAAGGCAATCAAGCAACCATGCAGCAAATTGTGTTGCATTTGAGCTTATAGAGAAAGGACCGACCTTGTTGAGTGACTTGAGCAAGCTGGCAAGGCGACCTGGGACTGGACTGGACACCGAGAGAGAACCCCGCTCGTCGATTATAATGTTCTATATGACAGCCGTTTCATACAAGCAATTCATCAGAACATAACAGCAACCACTATTACAAATCAATCAACCATCTAAGAAAAAGATAGAGCATTACAATGTTGTGCATGTCGTTCTCGGGCACGATCAAGTAGGGCATGCCCTTTTGGACCATGTAGTGCACTCTCGACGTGTAAACCTCCCCCTTGCTGCCCACAACACCGAGCAAGACCAATCAAAAACAAGGAAATTTGGTATTTTAGCTGCTACTCGCACAAGCATATGGATCAACAGGTTGAGATTGTAGGAAGTGGCGTGCGCACCTTCCCTTGGCGTCGGCTTTGATGGTGTTGAGGTGGGCTTCCCAACTGGCGCCCAGGATGTTCTGCGAAGGGCGAGAGGGAGTCAGTGACAGAGCCTAAAATCGGAGGAGCGAATCGCAGAGGATGCTGGCGAGAAGTACCCGGCACTTTTCGGCGGCGGAGAGGGCGGTGGATTTGGCCTTCGCCATCGCCATGGCCTCCGCTCCGCGCGCGCACCAGCTGCTCGCGGAAATGTGTCGGGGGAGCGAAGGGGCGCCGCCGGGGGTGAACGGGTGGTGCGGGTCTGCGGGATCGACCAGGAGAGCTGCAGAGCCCTGGGCTAGGGGTTCGCGCGGCCTTTTGGGTCTTTCTCGTGGGCCAGTGGTTTAGTTCAGAGCTGCTGGGATTCGCGAAGGCTGCGTTGGCGCGCGAGTGCTATATCTCGCATTAAGCGAGACCGACAGCTATCGCGAGCGCTAGGGGATTGGAACCTCCTGGTTGAGGGAGAGCGCGGCTAGCCAAGTGTCTGACTCGAAATCATTATTGAGTAGTAGTGCGGGTATACTTAAGTCGAAACAAGCCGGGTTCTGCACAGTTTCCTCTCCATTTTTTCCTGGGGTTTTCCGTTTTGTTTTCCACCATTTTTCTCTGTTTTTCCTTGGCTTTACTCGTTTTTTCTTTGGCTTTACTTTTTATTTTTTTTCTTTCCTTTTTCTTCAAATACTTGATCAACCTTTTTTTAAATCCTTGATTAACATTTTCATATATATGATAAAACAAATTCATCATTTTTTATTAAATGGTCAGCATTTTTTCCATACACATTTAAAATTTTTCAAATCCTTGTAAACATTTTTCAAATACTTATTAAAAATTACCAATGTTCATTAAAAAATTAATTACATGATCAAAAAATTATACACATTTTTTGTACATTTTTGTATGCATGTTAAACATTTTCTCTATAGACATTGAACATTTTAAAATACTTGATCAACATTGTTTTAAATTTTCTTATAGTGTTTTTCTGTAATATATATATATATATATATATATATATATATATATATATATATTTGGAATATTTGAAGTATAAACAAAAGCAAAAGCGAAACATAAAACACAAAAAAAGGAGGCCGTGGCCTCCCCGGTACTGGGTCGGCCATCTTGGTCTCTCCTTCAGCGAGGGTTCCTACCCTCTCGCTGAAGGCGAGACATAGGCGCGCCCGACAGTTCTCTGTCTGAAGGTACCTACAGTGCTTGGGCCGGCCCATTTGTTTAGGGTTAATAAAGGAAAAAAGATGCGAATTGTTTTATTTTGTTTTTACACCGTTTTTTCTATGTTTCCATTCGGTTGTTTTATTCTCTTTTCTTTCATTCTTTTTCTTTTTATTTTTTTATTTTTTTCGTTTCTTTTGTGTTTTTTCTTTAATATTCTCTGGTTTTCTGAATTATTTTTGCATTTGTTTCTTCAGTTTTATGTTTCATTTTATTTTTTTGCTTTTCATTTTCTGGGTTTTATTTTTTTCTTTTGGTTTTCATCCTACACTTTGTGTATATCTCAACAACATTATTCTAATACACGTTTAAAACTTTTTCAATACAAATTTGAATCTTTTTAATACATGGTCAACATTATTTCTACACATTTTAAAAAAATCAAATGCTTGATTACATTTTTTATTTTAAGATTAACATTTTTTGAATAGATGGACAATATTTTTATATACATATTTAACGTTTTTTAAATGCTTGATTTATAGTTCTCGCGGCCAAGATGACGGAGAGCTTCGAGGGCATCTTAGCGAAGAAGGTGGGGACGACGTGAAGGAGGAAAAAAGGTCGAGAGGTTTAACATCTTGATGTTGGCGATCGAGAAGAAAATCAACCTTTAAGAGAAAAAGACCAAGCTCGAAGAGAGGAGAGTTGAGCTTGCGGCCGCATCGAAGAACACCAAGATATTGACCATCAGGATGTACGAGTTGGGTGATGATGTGATGATGATCGTGCGCGCCATCCGTGTCAAAATGTTGAAGCGATTGGCAGCCGAGATGAAGGCGACCAAAAAGGAGGCGGGTGGTGAGGGGAAGTCAGCGGAGAGTGAGCGAGGAGAGTGGGACTAAAAATTCTGTGATCGGACGCATGCAAAAACTCAGCCTGTGGCAACAATGTGGCGTTAGGTTTTTGCAGAGCCCCTTCGGGGACCAGCCCTGAGAGTAGGCCAGAGGATGTGCCTTCGGCACCTTTTTCCTATTTCTTCTTCTTTTGTCCTGGATCTCCGGATCACCACATATGTCACTTTTTCCACTGCTCCCTGCTTAAATCAATGAAACACCAGCCAAGGCTGGCCCTTTCAAAAAAAAAAGTAAAAATAATTCAAACAGGATCCGTTTAGGAAGCCCACTAGTTTACAACTACGTGCCTAAATATGTAGGATCAATATCTTGTAGATCATCTTTTGCAATATCATGAGAATATTAAATATCAAACAAACCAACCCGTGCAAACGTAAAACAAGGTTGGTCTTCGATACAGGAATTGATAGTGTTCATTTGATTTTTCAACTTTCTGAAAAACAGTTCGTACCAACACATGTTTATTCATAATAAGGCCAGTCTGCCACAATAAAAAAACACTTAACACGACAATATGCCACATTAATAGAAGTCTTTTTTGGTGCCACACTAGTCAGAAACATACTGCATTCCAGGTTTACCAAAATGAATCCACTCAAAATATCAAACAAGGCAGCTGGACTTTCCCCTGCTTCCCAGAGTCCTTGATGCTTCCCCAATAGAGACCAAATTATCATAGATGTATGCATCCTTTATTGTCGCAATAGCAAAACCCGTGATGCTTGATAACATAACTATTGAGCTGGTGTTCTATGCATCACCATATGGCTAGAGTTATGGCAGCGCCCAATTTGGGTCACAAAGATTACATGCACATGATAAATTTCACCCCCGCTAGGAATTCCATCCAAGAGAATACATCATTTATCAACTCATCAAGTTCCCTAGCACTTTGAATAAAAAGTGATTCCTTCAAACTTGATAACCATTGGGAATATATGTTACACTGGACAGGTGGGGTCAATCGATGATCAGATACACTGAAACAGTGGCATCACCTGCAGGTGGAAGAAGTTAATATTCAACTTTTTTGGATCTAGAAAAATAATAGCTTAGTATACCAAAAAGAGAACTGCATCCCTATATTATATAAATATAAAGAGAGAGCAAAAAGAAGTAGGGCGCAAAAAATTCAATGAAAATGTTGCATTCTCAAACTGCAACTTACCTAGTACATGTAGATACTGAGGATAAACTTCAAATCGAAAGGCTTGAGAAAAGGAGTTCAAGCTCCTCATCCTGCGATGTGGTCCTCTGCGATGGAAAAGGTAAAAAAAAAACTGAGCACAGTAAAATGCAAGGCCATCCAAATGTTTAAGTGAAAATTTGTTAACAATTCAAGTGATCAAAATTAAGATACCATGCAAAATAACTTATTTCCTTAGACCAAAGCGGCTCTGAGTATGGTGTTTTCTGGGAAGGCTTCTTTGCATAAGAACATAAACAAGTATCATTCAAATAGAACCGTTGCCTAACAAAGTAACAATGATTCCAGTGTAATCTCGTAAGGAGACGCTCTTTAAACCGATCTAAGATGATATCCTCTTGAGGAGATGCTTTAAGGAAATCTTATCCCTAACTTAGACAATCTTAGCTAATGTCTTCCCTGGCACAGTTAGCTACCCGATGCCTGAGCTCATTGCATGGCATGTCGCCTACGTTCCTTGCATCAGACGCTAGCAGCCACGTATGTAAGACCCTGAATTTTGGCCCTTTTCTTTTTTTCAAATCAAATTGGTTTCATTTGGATTTTTGCCTTGTATCTTATTTGGAATTGTTTCTTGGACTTATAGTCAACTAAAAACCAAACTATTCTTCTTGGACTTATCTAGTGGGCCCAACTCTCCAACCCTCTAACAATTTCACCTCAAACTCATTTTCCAAACTTTTCTAAGTGTGCTCTTTTCTCCAAAAAGAATATATACTCTCAAGGCACTTGGGTTGTGAAGCATCGACCTTTTCTGCCCCTCTGGAAATTTCCAAATCATTCACCCAATTTCTTTAAGATCAACTAACACCAGAAATTCCACTAACTCAAACAGAAACTTTTTCAAATGACCACACCATCTTCAAACTCTTTCCTGAACAAAATTTAAGTTTACACAACAAGTACTCTATAACTTTTTGCAAACCTTTTGAAACTTGGCACACACACCTTAGCATATAACTACACCACACCAAAGACCAGATCCAGCCCCCCCTCCATTCTCCCCTAGACAGCACAAACACCTTCCTACCAGAATGAACTTGGCCACCTTGCAGTCCATCCAGTGCACCTGGAGTTCCTTGCAAGCCACGAACACTACACACACACCACCCCTAAACTACTAGACACGCTGCTAACCACCAAAACGCACCCAGGCCCCCCAGCACCGTGGTGACCACGGCACTGGCATGCAGAGTGCATGCTCTGGACGCTACCTCACCCCTACCCGGACACCTGCGCCGTCTTCCACGTCCCCGGCGCGCCCT